TGCCGTCACCGTGCGGGGTGAAGGTTTTGGGTGGAGGTGAGGGCAGGTGGATTTTCTGCAAGGTGCTGATGGAAGGTGCGTAGTCACCGGCTAAGGGCAGCGCCTGGCGGGGGGGCGGGCTCTGTAGGTGGACATGCCTCCACGTCACTAGAAAGATCAGGCAGGTCAGCTCTGGCAGCCTGAGGCCGAGAGGATGGGGAAGGAACAGCCTTGGTGCGTTGGGAGAGAACTGCCTTGCTTTGTCATCGGGGGGCTTTTGTTTCTGTTGTTTGGGTTTTCTGGTAGCGTCTCCTCTGGGTGGGGACGGCGCTGAAAGCAGGTTACAAACCAGGCAGCTTCTTTCTGGGTTGCTGATTCAATTTTGAGCCGGGTTAATAATAATCAAAATAAGAATGAAGGGAGTTGTTGTCTTGTGGCTTTTCAGTGCCTTTTATGAGCGGAGGTAACTCTTAATTCAGTCCCTAATTGGCCATTCGGAGCGTCTGGGATTCCTCCGGAGGGAGGTGAGCGAGTGGCTGGGCCGGGGCGGCCGCGCTCTGCTCCCCTCGGGAAGGGCACGCTGGGAGGCGGCGTGCCCTGGTTGGTGTAACTGTTGTTTACAGGCAGGAGCTGGTGCCCTTTCCCCCCTCCCTGCCCTGTCTTCCCTGCTTAATCTTAGTGTAGTTAACACCGAAGACCTCATATTTTGCTGTTAAAAAGCAACGCGGTCGTCAACACCAGTTTCTCTTTCTTGTATTGCAGTGGGGTGAACCGATCTCTGAATCCATCCCAGCATTTCCAACAACTGTGTGGTTATTGCCTTTTAATGGTGGTTGAGTTGGAGTTTTGGCCCACGTGTTTGGTATCTTCTTCTTGCCTTCATCTCTGAGCAATGACCGTAACCTGAAAATCTTGTTTTGTTTTTCCAGTTGCATTTTCTGAGCGGTTTTGTCCTGAAGACTGTGCTCAGGTTATGACGACTAATCCCAAACCGAACAAGGCGTTAAAGGTAGGGAAGAAGTGGGTGCTGGTGGGTGGCAGGGGAGGCTGTTGCAGAACCACGCTCCATGGGACATCGGCTGTGCACAGCTGCTTTTTCATTCCCAGAGACTCTTACAAATGAGCGTCTAGAATTTCCCACTATGGACAGCGAACATTAGGGTAGGAGAGCACCAGTGATGCCCAGGAATAACTCTAAATTCTCCTGGGTGGCATGGAGTCTAGCGTACCCCAGTTGTGATCCAAGATGCTTTTGACTATAGCAGGTATTGGCAGCATTCTGAAACCAGTGCTCCCAGGCCTTTCAGTGCAGTACTTCAGCTCTCAAGACCTGGAGGCACTGGAGAAAAGGATGTGTTCAGCTGCTGTGTCTCAAATCCATGAGACAGTGAGCGCCCCAGATATACTGTCTTGGTGGTCTGCACATGGGTTGTGCATGCATTGTCCCAGTTTCTTTCCAGTGTCTTGGCTCTTCATTCCTGATGTCCTGTAGCCTCTGAAGAGTCAAAAGATGATGTCTTAAAGGTTCTGGACTTGATGATCTTAAAGGTCTTTTCCAACCTAAATGGATCTTAATGATTTTGAAAATAATTGTGGCAGCAAACCTGCTTGAGAAGAAGGTGCAAGGCCTTGGTGTCTTTGTCATGTAGCTTAAGAGTCTGGCCTGTGTGGCTGGAAAACCAAATTGAGCTGTGGTGGTCCTTGAAGCCAAGCAGGGTTAGTTTTGTTTGCCTCTTGGGTGAGCAGTCCTCAACAAAAAGCCTTAAAATGCTGAATTAAACCCTGCATATGAGTGGCTATTCTGCTTTTGAGATGCTGCACTGGTGTCCCAGCAGAACACTGGGAAAAGGTGTCATCTTTAGCATTTGGTACGAATTCTGACAGAGGAACACAAAGTCTGCTTTACATTGATATCCTTAAAAAAATCAGACTGTTCAGTTCCTCACCTCAGTGCTCAGATCCCTGCCGTGTTTCACCCTGATGTTTTGGTGGAGCACGTGCTCTCTCCAGTGCTTCAGGGGTGTGTTCCAGGTAGGGGTGTCCCATCTCTTCTCACTGTCCGGAGCATCCATTGGTGTAGGGCTGCTGCTACCCCTGTGCTGTTGGTATTTGCAGGTAAAGGAGGAGTCAGGAGAGAATGCCCCGGTGCTGAGTGATGATGAACTCGTGTCAATGTCCGTACGGGAGCTGAACCAGCACCTGAGGGGTCTCACCAAGGAGGAGGTCATCCGTCTGAAGCAGCGGAGGCGCACGCTGAAGAACCGGGGCTACGCCGCCAGCTGCCGCATCAAGCGCGTGACTCAGAAGGAGGAGCTGGAGAGGCAGCGGGTCGAGCTGCAGCAAGAGGTGGAGAAGCTGGCCAGAGAAAACAGCAGCATGAAGCTAGAGCTGGACGCCTTGCGCTCCAAGTACGAAGCACTCCAGACCTTTGCTCGTACTGTGGCGCGAGGGCCTATTACCCCGACCAAAGTTGCCACCACCAGTGTCATCACCATCGTGAAATCAGCCGAAATCTCATCCAGTTCTGTGCCGTTCTCAGCAGCGTCCTAGTGCCCTCGGTGGGGGGAACTAGCAGCCTTTCAGAGGGGAGGGGAAAAGGCTCTTATGCATTGTTCCGGAGTCCTTGGTCACGTCAAGAATTGGCATTTTAACAATTCTCTTCCAAAAGTGCAAAAATTAGAAAAAGAAGAAAAGGAAAAGAAACCAAACAAACCCAAACCTACAAAGGGAACTTAACTGGCTGCTTCTGTCTGGACTCTGTGGCTCCATCAACCTCTCGTGTCCAGGATTTGAGCTCTGTATGCAGTACAAATTGCAAGATCTGCTTCCTCCTTCTCCCTGGCTCCCCAAGCCCCTCTCAGCCGTGGGCAGCTTTCCAGCTGGGAGAAGATACCTGAGGAGCCTCCGGAGTCTTCGTGAATGATGCTCAAGAGCCAGGAAACAGATGGACCGTAGAAATCATCATGTGAGATGAATGTATGGAAAAAAGAGTTTCCTTTAGTGGCATCCTACTCCCTGTAAGAAGGGTCTCCCCTACCTTCCCCGCTTCCATCTGATACTGGGAGGGCAGGGATATAGGCTTTCTGGATAAGATTTCATCCTGCTATGTGTGGATGGGAGTGGGAGGACGATGGAGACTAATTCTTGGGTCTGACCACACCCATTAGGAATAACCTTTTGTTTTAAATCCATGCTGTTAAAATATGGAAAAATATATATTTTACATATTTTAATATGCCCCATTACCTGTGTGGCCTGTAAAAACTACATTGCAACCTCCTTTATTCCAAGCCCAAGTTTTCCAATAGCTCCTTCCCTAAAGTGTGCCTGTCAATTGGGTATATTTATGCAGTTTATTTCTTCCAAATGATCTGCAGTCTTGAAGTAGTAGCTTTTTTTTTTCTGGATTCCCTGAAGCTTAAGGGAAGGAGGAGGCACAGTAAATGCTGTGAAGAGCTGTGTGGTGGGATGGAGAAGGGGGGACGAGGAGGAAAAATGCTGCAAGTATTGCCAGGTGGAGGCAGAACTGGCTGCGAGAAGGTGGGACAGTTCTGCTGGGATCAGCACTATGAGAAGGGGTTTGTGAAGAGTATTTTGCAGAGATGTTTTTAAAGCACTGAAGCGTAACTGGAGGGCAGTAGGGTTCAGACGGGAGGAGAGACGTTACGGAGCCTCCTCTTTGACAAAAGCAATGGTAGGGTAGTGATGGACATCCCAGCTGGAGAGCTGGGCTCCCCAGTCTTTAATGACTAGAGAAGGGCTATGGGGAGGCCAGATGGGAGCTGGAAGACTCTTTTCCTCTCTAGAGCGTGTCGGGCGCTGAAGTTGGGATCCAAAGAGTACAGAGAACAACCCTTAGTGTTCAGACAACCTGTGGGAACGTGACCCTGAAACTTGACGCGTCCTCTTGGGAGTGGGTGAATTATCCCAAGGGGTGCATGGAGGGCAGGATGGAAAACCAGTGCACGTGTAGGGGACAGAGTTGGGATCGAGAAGTAGTTCATATGGCTCTGAGCAGTGGTTTGGGAAGGGGATTTCTGGCAAAGGGCAGGAGGTTGGAAGCCAAAAAGAGAGATTCTGATGTTGCATAGCAGCACTGAAAAGACGAATGTTTCCAGGTCACTGTATAAGGAAAAAAAAAAAAAAACAAAAAAAAAACCAAACAAAAAAAAAACTAGCTATGTTGGTGTTTGTGTGTTTTGTTGTTGTTGTTTATTTTCTTTTTGAAGTAGGAAAGAGAAGGGACATGAGTTTTGCAGGGCAGGTCAGAGACTTGTGAAATGGACGATGCCTGTTGTCACGCAGGTGAGCAGAGAATGAGATTGCTGAAGTTTAAGATGAGAAGAGCTTAGAGGTTTTGGGCTGCAGAACAGAAAACAAAGATCATGGGAGGATTCATGAGTGTTTTGGACTGAAAGAGAATAATCAAGTGCCACCGTTGTTGAAAAGGGGAGAGTGAACTGGCATCCGACACCCAGTATAATTTGTTGTTTGAGGCTTTGTCTTGCCTTGAATGGCAGTAAGTTTGCAGAAATTTAGTGAAGCCCTACTTGTCTTTGGAAGAAGTTGTTAGCTTGCTTTTTTCTTTTTTCACCTTGTCATCGGAGTCTCTGGATTTCCCAGGAGGGTCCTTTGTGAAATAGGTTAATGAAAAGAGAAACCTCAGACTTGGTTCTCGTTCAGTCCTCAACATCGGCATTCGTGACCTTACTGAGCCAGAAAGGGTGTAAGTGAAACGCTTCCTGAGGCTCGTGACCCCTGCCAGATCCACGTGTTATGGACGGGAGCAGGGAGTTTCCTTCAAGTGATTTTCCAACACGTAGAGTTTGGATGACACTTAGTGTTACCTCATTTCTCCTCCACTCCCTCCCTATCTCCGAACAGGCAGATCGTTGTCCTGTGTATCAGTACCAGTTGTTGACTCCCACAGCAGAAGCTGAGGAAGAGAAAGATGTTACTGTCATTTCCTGGTCCTCTCATGTTCTCCAGCTCACAGACATTGGAAACTTTCCCAGACCTTACAGGTGCCTCCGAAAACAGGCAAAATGGAGACTCCTGGCACTGTTGGGGCTTTAAATGAAAACTTTAATGGAAAAGGCCAGTTGACTTGAAAATGCCCAAATGCTTCCAGTCTTTAAAACAGCTCCAGAGCTCCATAACATTCCTGGCTAGATAGGAACACCCTCTGGCTGCCCTTGACCCCCCGACT